GATCTACACGATTCACATGGATGATATATTTTGATTCAAAACGGCGAATTTTGCCGAAAAGCCACAACTTTGCAGGTATGAATAAAGTTCTTGAAATAAAAAAATTGCATTTCCCCCTGCGCCCCACCTGCAATACCGCCCCTCTAGTGGGGCGCGCCCCACAGTTTGAGAACCACTGCCATAATCCATCCAACCTGTGCAGACTTTCAGCTGTTTGGTAAAGATGCTCGCTGCTGATGTTGCACTGATGTTTGTCACTCAGGATCTCACATAGACGTAATATAGGTAGCGGGCGTAGTCACCATGTGGTCACTCAATGGTTTGAGGACTACGGGTTTGAAGCCTCAAGTTTGGCATCTTGGTTTTTGCAACCAGAAGTTCCACGAGAACGTGGAGATAAATACAACTGAACACTGAATCATTGTGAGGCGAACACAAAGTTACAATTAACTTTGATGAAGCTAAAACACTCTATGAAAGAGTTAAAGTTGTGAGACGAACAAGCTCATTTGAAAAACAGAAGACTGGACAGTGTTCAGTACAACCCAAAAAACAACAGAGCGACTACGGCAGAAACAGATCCGAGCAGAAAAAAAGAGACTAAAGCTGCTGACAGCTGCAAAATAAACCTCACCATCAGAGGAAGATTGCGTAAATCTGCTTCAAACAGACTTTGGCTTCATGCAACATTAACGTGAAGAGCTGCTGACTGCTGACAATACAGAAAGCTTTGTGAGAGACGGAGCATGACAGCTACATGTGTGCTAAACTTACCGCTGTAGTATCTGCGTTATATTAATACGAAATATTACAGCATTATCTCAGCATTGATGTTAGTACAGTTTGATTTCTAGTAAGACTGGTTAAACTCAGGTTCAGGTTTACTAGAACAGTATTGGATAGATTTAAAACAAGAGTCTACACATGTTACCAGCTCTGTGAGGCTGTATCAACAGAGACTACTTGTGATGGGCGGGATTGGAGGAGGATGGGTCCAACAAACACAGGACCTTTAACTGTGAGACCGATGTTCCACTCAAAGTTTGTTGTGACGCGTTCGTTGCGGTTTGCTGTGACTGTGGTATCCTATCAGGATAAAACTTTGCATTTGAGGGCGTGTTTTCGTGCCTCTGGCAAATAATAGTGGCCGAGAACCTGTTTCTCAGAGTCTCACCTTCCTCTCCAGAGAGCAGTGTGACACTCGGACTGACAGCAGAGCCGCGGTCTGGATCGGTTTCCGTCTCAAGATCCAATAAAATAGTTTCTTCATAATTCTAACAACACGGCAGAGTCTTGAGCGTACACAGGTCAGTCCAGTTAATTAGTTGTTACTGTAAAATGCATCTTTAGAGGATAAAATACTATAATGTTTAAATGTATAAAGTTTTTTAAAACTATTTTAACTAAATAGAAATGTAAGCCGTATTTCGGCCAACATTTCTATTTAGTTAAAATAGTTTAAAGAAACTTTAATGTGTTTTGATTTTGAGAAAAATGTAACGTTTCTACTAGATCTCATGAGACGTTTTTATTCTCACTGGGTTTAATTTGTTGCAGAATACTGCCATAAATTAAATGTGTGAGTCTCTTTTGATATTACCACTTAAAATCACCAAAATAACACATTTTCAAATCTGGATGCACCGATACTGATATCGGGCCGATACTGACTTAAATAGCTTCTGCTATTGATGACAATGGGTCCGATCTATTCTATGTTTAAATACTGTATACATTATACACTGGAATATTAATCCCAGTTTACGTTTTTTAAGAACAATTTGTTGCAGAAATTAAAAAGTTTACACTTGAATTGTAATACCTTTTCATTTTGAAAATATTTGAAGTTGCTGTTGCATAATTTATTGTTTTAATAAATACATAATTCGGTAAACGTATATCTATTTATTTATTTGTTACATTTCGTTTTACAAAGTTTGAAGCCTGATGTTGCCTTACACAAACAATAATGATGCCAGTCACTTCCACACAGTGAGGCATACAGATTATTGATTAAACACTCATATTGGATCGGTACTCAGTATCGGGCAAAATCCAAAGCACAGGTATCGGTATAAGGTAAAGTCAGAGAGTTGCATCCCTACATTTATAGTATGCAGAAAGAGACTGTCTAAGAAACTTTGTTTTGCTCTGTTATAATACAATACAACATGTAGAAGAGTTGTGTAATGACACCGATAAGTCACAGGTTGTCTTTTATCTCCAGGGTGTCAACATGTCGACTGACAACTATCTGCCAACTGAAGAGCAGCTTACGTGCTGCATCTGCCTGGAAGTGTTCAACGATCCAGTCACGTTACCATGTGGACACAACTTCTGCAAAAAATGCATCACACACCACTTGAGTTCTAACTCCCAGCACCAGTGTCCTTTGTGTAAAGAGCGTGTTGATAGAAAATATAAGCTTCGGGTCAACACTATCATAGCTGAGATGGTTCTTATGTACAGAATGTCAGCTGGAAGGAGAGACAGAAGGAGCTCAGAGCAACAAGTTGCTGAACCCGGAGAAGTTTCCTGTGACATTCCTACTGAAACTAAGCAGACTACCCTGAAGTTCAACATTTTCTTAGTAGTAGGCCTGGCATGTCTGACCATCTACATTACAATCTACCTTGAGCTTCATAAAACGGTGTCAAGCCCGATAACTCCTCAGCTGTGTGATGTGGTCGAGAACGTGGCGGGCAGCCTGTGTCCTAAGCATGGCAAACCTCTGGAGCTCTACTGCAAGAACGAACAAATGCCCATATGTCAGTCCTGCGCTGAATCAAGTCACAGATCTCACGACATTGTTCCTCTGAAAGAAGAATATGAAGTAAAGATGAAAGAGCTTCAGAAAACAGAGGCTGAAATTCAGCAGAAGATCCAGGAGCGACAGCTGAAAATACAGGAGGTCAAACATTGGGTTTGGGTTAGCAAGGAAGCTGCAGACAGAGAGATGGCTGATGGTGCTCAAGTCTTCACCGCTTTGATACAGACTTTGGAAAAATATCATGCCAAGTTCATCGGGATGATTGAAGCGAAGCACAAAATGACTGAGAAGCAGGTCAAATGTTTCACCGAAGAGCTGGAGCAGGAACTCTCTGAGCTGATGGAGAGGCGGACTGAGGTGGAGCAGCTCTCACGCTCAAAAGACCACCTCCACTTCTTCCAGAGCTACCCATTCTTTAAGACTGCTCCTCTCGCCGGCGACTTGCCAGATGTCAACATTTCTTCAGTGTCTTATGAAGGACTCCTGAGGACAGCTGTAGGGACTGCAGTGTTTCAGCTGATTGAGACAGACAAAAATGAGATGGAGAAGCTACAGGAAGCTGAGCCGTTGAACCTCTGGGGGAATGAATTGGATGTGACTCTGGATCCTGATACAGCAAATCCTTATCTCATCCTGTCTGATGATGGGAGACAAGTACATTATAGTGCTGTGAGGAATAAAGTACCAGACAACTCAAAGCGATTTGATACTTCACTTTTTGTCTTGGGAAAGCAGAGTTTCTCTTTTGGGAGATTTTACTATGATGTTCAAGTTAAAGGAAAGACTGGGTGGGTTATAGGAGTGGCCAAAGAGTCCGTCAACAGGAAGGGAAAACTTCAATTAAACCCTGAACATGGCATCTGGGCTTTACAACATTGGCAGGGAGACCAGTACATTGGACGTACTAGCAAGTCTGTCCGTCTCTCTGTGAATGATCAGATTGAGAACGTGAGAGTGTTCGTGGATTATGAGAAGGGTCTGGTCTCCTTCTATAATGGAGATTCAGCAGCTCTTATATTCTCCTTCACTGGCTGCTCCTTCACTGAGAAACTCCACCCAATCTTCTGCCCCTCTTTTGAGAACTCCCTCCCTCTGATTATGTCCCCTGCTGTCAGATTTAACTAATCACTGCTTTTGCAAAAACCTGCGATGTTTTCAACACAGTCTCACAGAAATTTGTGAAATAGTCATGAAATGCAATCGTGTACATGGACACCAATTGTTCATTTTTTCTGTGTTCCTCGGCATAACTTTTGTATCTGGACAACATTACGTTAAAAAAGCAAAGGACTTTCTTGCCATTATTGTCATCCTGAATGACACAACAGACAATTCATGTCCTGTTCACGAAACCAATAGATTGTGATTCGTGACTATTTCACGACCTGCCATGATACTGGGCGGAAGTTATATACTCATGGCTGCAACGTATTTATTGTTAGGTTGTTTCAACAGTGTCATTAGGTTCATGTAGATAATAGACAACTAATTCCAGGTAAATTCTATGGCAGGGGTGTTTAATTAAAATGATTTCCTCAACATCCAGAACATCATAATGTCTAACTTGCGTTATTATTCAATGCCTTGTAGCGGCTTAGATTTTCTGTGATATGGTTGCTATATACAGATGCTGCAGCCCAACTCTACAGCTTCTATTTAAACATATTGTGAGGTTCTTTTAACTGAACCAGTCTCAGTTTAATCCTGATTCTCTATCAGACCTCCATCAGTAAAGAGACCATCAGAGAGAAGATGGTCGGATTCTGGTGAAATCAGATGAACTCATGCAGGTTCACCAGAAACTCTTCAGCTCAGACTCCAGCAGAGACCGGTCCACTGTGGACAGACCCAGATCCTCCA